AGAAAGATATACAGAAATAACAACTATTCCATCTGAGCTCACACTCCCTTATTTTTTATTTTTATTTATTTTTCTTCCTGATACACATGAATTGTTAATTTCTACAGATCATATAAAAAGGGACAGAGCGAGTGTCTGCAGGTATAGTGCGGTGCAGAGGGATGGTGAGAGGGCTGGTTACGGCAGCCTAATGCACCCTGGCCAGACCAATAAGACAGAGGCATTGAGGGTCACTCTATAATCCCCGGCTCATCTGAGGTGGCTGGAGATGGGTTTGAAAATGCGCCTCGCCGAGTGCCACAAAGCAACACACACACCCATACGCATCCACCCCCCTCTGCTCATGGTGCTTTCATCGAACACACACACACACACACACACACACAAATCCGTGCTCAGACACACAGGCGTTTAAAAAAAAAAAAAACTATCTATGCCTGCACTCAGGCGTGCTGACGTGCACACGCGCACACACTAGCTCCCATCCACTGACCCAGACGGACAAACACAGGCACGCACACAGTAGCTGTAGCGAGCAATGAATTACAACACATTGTGTCTCAAGCTTAGTTCCTGTCTGCACAGCTCCACCTTGACCTCTCTCTCTACCGTTCTCTTTACCTTTCTGTCTGCCTCTCTTCTTTATGCCTCCCTGCCGCCTTGTCTTTCCTCTCAGTCTCTCCTCTTTGCTTTTTTTGTCGTCCATTTTCCACCTCCCCTCCTGCTAGATCCTTCTTTATTTCTCCTCACCTCCTTTTATTCTGACTCCATCTATTTCGATATATATCTCTCCTTTTCATTCCCTTCCTGCTCTTTCTTTGCGGCCACCCCTCCTCTTATTTACTCCCTCTGTGCTCGCTGCGCCTCCTCCCCTCCCTCCCTCCTTGCTCCATCTCATCTCAGACACACTCACCTGGCTCTCCCCTTTATTGCCTCAGGAGGCTGGAGAGCCACTGTTTCCTTTAATCCCAGCCAATGCCATCTGCAAACACTGACAGTCACACAGCGACTCCATCGTTGTCTCACTATCAAAGCCGTGGCGCTATCAAAGGCTGGACGGGGCGTAATCACAGCAGCCGCACGGCAGATTGAACCCCCGTTTGATTTGACTTAGTGCACACAAATAAAGGATAATATCGGTGTCATTTAGGCTGCTTCCTCCGACTTATTGACTGGCAGTGGTTGCATGTAGAGATCCACAGTTGGGGGTCTGGTGAGCAATGCCTGCCTCAGAATTGGTTTATGTGTGTGTTTTTGTGCTTTTGTGAGTAAAGCAGGCAGGCACAATAAAACCCATTCATGGAGGAGCAAATCTTCTCTTCCTCCCATCCATTTATGCTACTGCAAACACAGACATACAACAACAACAACAAAAAAAAGAAGTAGAAGCACGCAGACACAAACACACACACACACGTTCACACTCCCTTGCTCTCTTTTCTGAGGCCCAGTGTTTGTTTGGTAACAACACAGGGAGGGAGGGGGGAATCCCCAGACTCCTATTTCCTCTCTGATTCTCCTCTCTAGCCATCTCTCGGCAGACGCCAGTGGCTAATTAGCAGAATGGCGATCTGCTAATTGTGTTAATTTACAACATTTTAGCCGAGGGGAGTCTAGCAGGGGCTGGCAAGCCTGTCACCCTCCCAGTGTACCAAGCAGCGAACGCCTCAGACAAAGAGCTGCGCGGAGGAAAGTTTTGTATTAGCTGGGAGGCTTCTTTAATATTGAGAATATATTAAGTGGAAGCAGCACTACAAAAGGGCAGTATTTCAAGGAGAAAATTACAAGCCGGGAAAACTGGACAGAATAAGAGGAAATGAGGCCAAATACAGGTTTCACAACAATCCTTCAATTGCAGTCTGGTTTGTATACACCATTATATTGTTGTTATGTGTGTGTTTTTTAAATATAAAATCAAAGGTACACGATTTTTAAGGAACCAAAAGAGGATGTAGTTTGTCATTTCATCGAAATAACTGGCAGGCACACTTTTCTTATTCTGTTCTCCATTATTCCAACACAGTATGAATGCAAAATCATCATAAATAAATAATATCATTATTGAACTCTTGAACGGTCTCATGAAAGCAGAGTAAATCAAACATTTTTAAAGGGCTTTTAAAGTTGGATCGTTCTTAGGATTGTATTCTCAAGCTACATGTTTGATCCGTAGCCAGGAGCAAAATGCTGAGTTTGGCAGTGCACATGAAATCTCTATTATTTCAACATTAGCTCTTCAGCATTAATGGATCATATATAGCTGAGGAGAAAGTGGCACGTGGCAAAGGCTGTAAGCCAGATTCAGCTGTGTCTTCAACCATCAGAGTGCCTTCTTTTGCTAATCCACAGTCCAACCCCCCCCCCATCTGATTCAGGAGCTAGAGTCACTGCAGTGTCTAGTCTTCGAGGTCTGCAGAAGCAAATGCCTGCGATGAAACTGCCTCACTGATGCCAGGGTCAATCTACGTGTCGCTTGATTCTGCGGCAGAAATATCCACCTTCACATGTCATTTAATGGGGCCTTCAGTAACCTTCCATTCGGTAATCTAATCATTGACCACCACTGGTGATCAAGGAACGACAATGTCGTCAAGTACTTGACCTTGGCCTGTAACTAACATAATAATAAAGTCCCATTTTTATAGCGCAGGCCCTACCGACAGGGGTGAAGTGGTGAATGCAGAGTGAAGTGGTAATTTATAGTATCACTACACAAGATAATGTTGACAGGAGAATGGATTTTAGTTATTTGTCTTTGCACAGATGAAATAGTGAAAAAGACCCCCGCTAAACTGCAGTAACTTTACTCTGGCTGTGCAGTTGTATTCTAGCTTCTGTTCAGCTTGGTATTTTCTGGAACCTGCTGTTGCACTTCAATGCTCCCTTTGTTCTGAGGAGACATCTATCGCACCATAGCCACAGCTAGCCTGAGCTAACTGTAATATGTAATTCAAAAATAAAGTGGCGTAACTTAGCAGTAAACACCATCACTTTGTTGTCGCTACCATTAAATCACATATTTAAATGGATGAAAATGAACATTAAGGTATCAAATTTAGTACAAATATTAAAAGTCAACATTTAATTATGAACTATGAACATATTCAAAATAAAGTTATTTTCTTAAAGTAACCACGTTCAAAATGATGTTAAAGATTTCTGTACAGGCAGAGCATCTATATGTTTTTAGGACGACATTTAGCCAATCCTGGAGATTTTAGGTGTAAAGGAATCAGCCTAAAAAGAAATAAAATAAAAGCATTAAAACCGTTTTTACAACCTTGTTACACAGTTTGCTGGGTTCTTTAACCACTATTTTTATGCTGTTTCTGTAGTGCAGTGCATTCAGCATTATGGGACTGTAAAACCTCCAACTGATTTGACATTTAATCTCCAAATTGTTACAAAATCTGTCAAAGCAGCGAGTGGATTTCTCCCTGCCAGTCTTCAGTGACATGCAATCAGGCAAGAATTGTGAAGCGAGTGACTACATCTGGCAATAAGGTCGTTTCGAGACAAATATCAGTTGATTTAACACATGTTGTGAAAACAAAAAGCTGCACTGCATTGCAAAGAAGTGAAGATATTATGACGTGTTAAGATGGATATGTCTTTGCGCTGTCATGATGTATTGGCCTGTTTTCGGCTTCATTTTAAGTGCCAGGCTGTGGTTCAGCTCAACTCAGTGCAGGGACGCGTACAGAGAAATGGATGGAGGTAGAAATGAAAGGAGGAAGCGAGGATGGAGATCGGAGAGAGCAGGAAAACACAAAAATAAAACAAGCCTTGCGAATCACAGCGCGCTCCTCTTGCCACATAGTTTGACACTCCATCAAACTCCGATATGTCCTCCATTTAAAGAAACATGAATCTTTCTAATTCCATCATTAATAAAGATAACATATATAAAAGAGTGTGTCAGGCTCCATCAGGGCTTTCATCTCTTCTATAATGAGGTTAATGCAGAGACGCAGTGATTACCCCAGCAATGCAAATGAAGGCCAAATGATAACTTGCACTATTTAAATAAGGTAATAGCGATTACTCTACGTTATTCAAATGAGGACAGATGCTTTGAACTGAGCGCTTTGAACTCGCTGCTCCTTCTCCAAAACAGAGATGGAGGAGGATTGACTTTGGAATCATTCAGTGTGTATCCTCTAATTCAGCGTGATGTAAACCAAGGGCAATGAGCAAAGCAAAGTCACTTAATGTGGTGGTGCAGCATGGGCTGGGTCAGATAGGAAAAATGCTCAAGGTAGCCTGACATATACACTCCTTTTCTCTCGTTAAAAGACCTTGAAAGTCACAGAAAAAAGGTCCTTGAATTCATTAAGGGCTCAAATCAACTAAAAATCAACACAAATATCTATCGGAGTGTTTTTTGTTAATAAAAATCATCGACTACTCCAAATTCCGCCCATTCATTTCCCAAAAACATTCAAGGCCTTTTATAATTTCAAATATGAAAAGAATTCTGCTACTTGTGGAGCCTAATTTGCCTGAGCTTTAATGTTGAAATGAGTGTGTTCCGGCTTCGACAGCCTTCGTCAGGGTTACAGGATTATATATATATATATATAT